GCTCTATGCGATGTAATTTGCATGACCTCCATCGTTTAAACATACTTCCCACTCGTCACGTTTTCGTGGTAAGAATCACAAACCACAAGCAGACAATTTTAACTTTAAAATCTTAAGAATCCTGCATTAATATAATTACTATTTCAATTCTGTAGGAAAGCTGGGACAACATCTTGTCATCCCCCTCCTCTTGCTGTCCGTAATGATTCTTTTAATAAACCTAAGAGTGATGGTCGCCTGTCGTGAAATGTCAGCAATTTTCATTTTCTTCCAAGCACTCTCCCTCTAGAGCGGAAGCCCATAGTAGAAGTTTGAAAAAAAGCCATGTCTACTTTCCAAACCCAAATAATTTACAAATAATAGTTTCGATTGTTTGTGGTTATCCTTTTCCTTTTCTTCATTTTAGGGATTCGCTAATAGGTTATCAGAGTCGATATTGTCTTCATAAATAAGGAGTAATGTCACCATCGCTTCCCTTTTTGGTTTCAAATTGCTACTGAGTTTCTCAATGTCCTCACGATCACTGACCTTCCAGAAAAGTTTCCGCATGAGTTAATAATAGTCATTCGAAAATTTTCGATTTGTGCATTAACATCTCAATTAGTTATTGCTCTAGCTATGCATAAAAATACTTTCGGATCCAAAAAAATTAAGCAATAGCGTGGCGACTCCGCCTACGAAATTTGATATTTCATGATCCTTATGGCCTGAATTAGGCAACATCCTTTTCTAAACTGTAAAACAACAGGAATGGTTGTGACAATAGAACAAATTCCAATCAAGAACTTCAAAAGAACTAAACAACTAACTGAAGAATAGTATCTGGAGGTAGCGCACCGAATTTCATGCACAACAGTGGAGTTGAAACTTGTTTATGAACTGTGTGGATTAACGCACGACGTCAACGAGTAAATAGATTTTCAAAACTATAGGGTTACTCAACAAAGTATACTAAGCTATTGCAGGATAACAATAAAACAAGTAAATGTTTTGAAGCTCAAACAGGCGGTTCAAATTATTGTCAAAGCAAAAAGTATCCATAAAGCTGTCATCCTTAGCAATTTGTTCAGAAGGCGGATGGACAGACTTTGCTAACTCAATCAAGGTAAATCACAATGGATAAATGGGAACTTCACAGCAAAGTAGGTTAAGAATAAAGGTTGTGGAATGAATTCATATGGAAATTTTTCATAAAGACAAGTTGACATAAGCTAACAAAACAAAACTGGGAGGGATTAAGCGTAGGCGCACACAAACGACGTCGATTGACTACCGAATTATTTGCGCATCCGGAGATGATTGGGCCTAGAGATGTGAAAAGGCTAGGCATGCACTCTTGTGTCCCTAGACATAATGATGCCACCAGGACCGGGCAAACTGCTGTTGCCCATCAAATCTATATCTACTTGTCGAGCAGCCTGGCGACCTTCGTTGATGGCGTGAACAACCAGAGATTGACCTCGACGGCAGTCTAAAGAATGGCAATAAGTTGTTACTTTGTAAACCAAAGTAAAACATGCACTTACAAGATATATATTGATTCCTTTTGGGCCTAGTCTAAGATCTTTACAGTAATGAGAAGCGGCAAACCAGTAGCGAAATTCCTGAGATACATGCGAAACCTACACGATCCTTAGAAATATTTAAAGAAATTAGAGTACTTTAGAGTTCACTTTCAGCTTAAGATTTTAACATTTACTATTACCTATTTGACGGTAAATGCATGCTAATTATTTCCTCTACTTTCACCATGAGCAGCAAGCGGGTCAAAAACGGATAATTATAAAACTCCAACTCCATTGGATGGGGGAAACTGAAGCCTTAGCTTCCATTACGAAACTCATTAACGTGAAGTACGGGTAAGGACAAAATTAAAATCCTAAAGCGATCATGGATAGACTATTTAAGTTCCATTGTGTTTAATCAAACCGCCTTGTTAGTGTTACTTGTTCCAGTAATTTTGTCGAAACCTAACAACTATATGTGCTCTGGGTTTCAAAATTTAAAGCTGTCTGTTGAGCATTCTAGTAAAGAGGAATGCAATCGAAACAAGGAGTAAAAAAGCTTGGCCATCTCTTAAAAAATATCATCGCTACAAACCGAAAACCTGCTCTAATTCAGACTTATAAAACAAGGAGAAACAGTTAGAGCAATCTGCGACTCCAAATCCTTTTGAACAAGAACACACGAATATCTTTAAGTAGGCAAGGAAGAAAGCATTTTTGTCCTCCGTAGCCTCATAACTTGTTAGGCAACTGAATAGAGGTAAGGTCAGAGAGAGCAGATTCTCAAATCATTGCATCAATAAAACCGTTGTGAGACCTATCACTAGCACAACGGAAGTAAGCTAAATTAAATCCCCATAGGAATGAGAGAAAGGGTCATCCCTACCTTGATAAACGAGAATAGAATGTGAGAGACTCACCTCCAGCAGCATAAACTCGCGGAACAGAAGTGGCAAATTTACCGCTTTCCGTCTTTACATTAGACCGAGGGTCGGCATCTAGCTCCAACTCCTCAAGAATAGATCTCTCCGGTCCCAGGAATCCCATCGCCAAGAGGGCCATGTCGCACTCAATAAGCTTTTCTGTACCTGCACCAAAAAAGTGAGGCCATGATGAATATAGGCTCTTCAAGTAGTATTTGAAGGATGAAGGCTCTGAGTCACCCATGGCAGCCACGGTTTATTCCGTACAAAAAACGACATATCCCATCAAGGTTAAGGAATTAATCATTAAAAGCTTGCCTTTAAGCCTACAGATCTACAAGACTATGCCAGTTCTCTTGATTAGGTTGTTCATCGAATCTTATTAAAAATGGGTTATGGGATTGCTAAATTATAAATAAGCGTTAAAAAATTACGTGGCTAAATTATGCTCATTTCGAATCGAAAAACTGCCGTAAAGTTTAATTTCAAGATAGTTAATCTTCGGCATTTCAAGTCGAAAGTGATAGAAACATTATGGAAACTATTTCCAAATATGTGCAAAAGAAATACAGAGGCCGACTAATTGCATTCTATACCATTTTCAGTATTTGTAGTGGTCAAGACATTTGAAAATATTCTATGCTTTCGTCCATTAATGGTAAATATTTTAACACTTCCCGGGTATTTTGTAGTATGAGTTTCGTCTTTGGGAAGAGAACAGCTTCGAGACAATTCGTTTCATTGGACTTCAAAAGATTCTCAGACAATTTGATGAGGCCTTAAAGAGCATGGATAGGCCCATATAAAATGCTATTCCAGATTTTCGTACGCAGTGATCCTTAGAACAGCAAAACTAACCTTATGCTATGACACTTGTCTAAAAAAGTACTTCCCATGGAATTATGGAAAATATCTGTCACACCAATAGCTTTGCAGCTTCAGAAAGCAGCTTTTAAGGAACAAGGCGTACACAAACCCACCAGCTATCTCCACAAGCTTAAATCGACCCTCCGAATCTCCTTCACCGGACTTTTCCCAGCGCACCAAAACAGTGTTCAGACCGCCAAGTCGGGCAGGGTCATCAGAGGCGGCAACAAAAGCTTTAGTGAGAATGTTGAATGTACGTGGGTCTCGACCGTAGTGCACTGCTACTTCCTCATGGCCATAGTCGGTGCGGAAAATGAGCGGCCACTCTGGCCACGGGTTAGTCCGATTATCACGACTGCTGGGAGGTGTTGCCATTATTTCCAGGGTCTCCACGCTTTTTGCACCCTATTTACCCAATATCAAGAAGTCTTATTAGCTATCTTCACACAACCTAATAATCATGATTCTGGTATCAAGCTTCGCTTTGCGAAAAATATTTACAGACACGGATTATAAACAGTTTAGTGAGATCATAAAAATGCACAACTCTCAGTTTTAACAACAGTAAGAAAACCCGGAACCCAATAAGGAAGTTGGAACTCAAAATCCTGGCAGTAAACACCCTTACAGAGTTAGGCTGTTGAGCGGATATAGACAAAGACAGAATGGAAAGTCAAATGAATACGTTTGCCCAGAAGGACAATAAAAAGGGCGAAATGAAAGAATGCAAAGAACACGTATACCTACTGTCATAAGGACTGACTAAAGGGTAGCGGGATGAGAGAGCTAAACTCACCTGCCTGGTAGCAGTAGCAATGCAGTCTACCCCTGTATCTCCGCCTCCAATCACAACGACTCGTTTGTCACGCGCAAATATGGGGAGGTCAGCAAGCTCTCCGGAATTTCGAATGAACGCCTCAACTGAGGTTGCGGGGATCGATTTGGCGACTCTTGACTGCTTGCGCTGCCAACGCTCAAG